CAAAGGAGGTTTGTAGGAGGTTTGTACAAACCATGGTTTGACGATGGTTTACATCTATGGAATGCTGCTCGCATACCGTAAATTGTAAATTAACATTGTTAACAAGTATGGAGTTTACATTCCTTCTCCATCAGTTTACAAATGGCATTCCATAGATGTAAACCTTGGCCAAACCATGGTTTGTACAAACCTCCTTTGTGAATACGAGCCATTCACTTCAGTTCTGGATTTGTGTTGTAAATTATTGACTCTTAATTAAAGGTAGTTACATTTCCCTGCTACAACCACTCCAACTTGACTTAACATCAGGTACCGACACAAGTACGATACAAAGTCTGCTGTTTCAAGACTCTGCATGCATCCAAAAGTGATTTCAGCATTTATATAGATGTCATTCATAATTTCTCATTAACTTTGCTATTTGCTTCAAAATATGATATTGTAACTGTAACCGTACTGTAATGATATGTTTCAACTTTTCCACAATCTTACTTCAAACATACAAAATGATACTAAAAATACTTACTCAAAGGAATACCGCTTGGAAGCATACATCAGTATATGGTTGTGGAAACACTCGAGCATGCTGGTGTGCCTAAGGAATTATGAAAACAAAATAAAAACTGATATAAATGATAGGGCATTTCATTATTTTCATACCACAAAATCAATATTGAAAATCCCATGTCATACACATGAGCAAATAAGATGCATTATCTTGACCTGCTGATATGTCCCAATTTTATAGGTCATAACCGAAAAAGAGCTCAATCTTGCAAACATGTACGTAATGAACGCATTCTCATTAAATTCCTCTCAATTTACAGAGCCTTTCGTACATGTATACAGAATCCTACCTGAAGCGAGCAAATCAGCAGAGTAGGCCAAGTTCTCCATGAATTTGCGGTCAAAGGTGACTTGTACTATTCACCTGCTAATTCCCCTACTGCTGCTTGGAATTTCTTCGCTGGGGATGGATTGTGTTGTCTGTTCTTCATATCTGTAAAAAGTGAAGAAACGAAAGTCATTCACAAAGTAAATAACATTCAGATTTTAAATCACCAAAAGAAATTATTTTGAAGATGGCATTCTCTAATAATTATCACAGCTAGCCAGATTTGGAATTTGCATGACTAATAACTGATGCATTGGTTCTCTGTCATGTATGTGAAGTTGAGACACTCTTTGGTAGAGATAAATATAGATGAGACAGTCACATCTCAAGCAAGCTATAGTATAACCTTGTCGACTTTTAAAAAGAGCAGGATGTTTACCCGGTTGACTAGCCCTGCACGTCATCATTACAAAGAAAACTGCAGTTGTAACGAGGGACATTAAAGGTAGGGTCTATTACAAAGTTTTGGGAAATTTTGAAAATTGGGTGGATAGTGATTCTTTACAATTTTGATATATTTGGATGCCCCTGTGGAAGTATTATAAGCAATAGAAAATTTAGCTCCTAAAACACTTCTGCTTTCGAAAAAAATTGAATATAAAAATTTACCGGTGCTCCCGGTAAATTTTGATAAATTTAAAATAGCGCCTACGGTCGTACAACGGTAGCTGCTACCATAAAAATCCCGGAATATGTAGTTGTGATATATAATTTCAAAAAGGTAATAGCCAATCGGTCAATTGTAGCTTGTTGTATAGCTGAATTAATATATTGACCTTGAGAGAGAGTTATAGTATACCCCATAAAGAGATTATTATTTACAATTTCATCACTTTAGACTCGATTTCAACGCGACAACGTTCACTGAATATTGTAGGATCGCATATGCTTCCAATATTTTCATTTGAACCAAATTCATCCGGAGGTCTAGTGGAGCCAGACGTAGTCTCAGTGGAACAACCGACGATATAGAGACTGAAGCTTTCGGTCTACTGTAGACCTAGGCTAGACTATCAATATCATATGATTCATGAAATCTGAATTAAAAATCCAAGGCAAGAGATAACAAAACGTAATTTCTTAAATTTGCCGATTCCATGCATCTAGTCTCTAGACTAGATCAAATTAAAACGGTAGGCCTACCCAATGCAGTGGGGCGTATATCATTTCAACTTACCTCTCAGTGAGCTGGCATGTCTATTGCATCCTCTAGACTCGGCAACGAGAAGGCCGCCTGCAGCTCGCGAAGTTTCTCCGCCGTACCCTGGCCTTGTTCACAGCCACTCCCGCGCCTCCTCTGGGCCGGATGGTCGAGCTGCCATTGCTTGTTTCTCTCCTTCCTCTTACCGTCTTACTTAGTCTTATTCCGATTTAGCGTAGCCTTAGCCTTGTCCTTAGGCTTAGCACTAGCTGAGTCCGAGTCGGCCATCGTCCGTGACCTCGAGCTCCTTTTCCAATCTCGATCTCGTTATCGTATTTCAATCAAAGCTTGTCTGTAGCTGTCTAGCGTTCGATCGGCGCCGGTGATAATCTGATATGAGCTGTGTGTGTTATACTTTACGTGAAAGCAGCGTATTGGAATTGATCAGCTGTATTACTAGCGCGCGGTCGGATACCCGCCTGCTAGCTACCTGTAGTACTGTACGTACCAACGAACTCAAACACTCGTTGTAAATACGCTGGTTGTTAAATGACATAGAGGGAGCTAAACACGTAAATTCAAAAAATAAACCGTCGAAAGTCAAAAGTGATGTCCGGACGTCAAACACTTTTATATAATGTTTTGAAAGCAAATTGCACAACAATTAGAGCATTTGATTTGGAATTATTATCATCTCCCATGTTTTTTTCGATGATCTTTCATATGGTACTGAAATAAACCAAATTTGTTTTGGAGGGGCACTTTGGAAATTACCAATACTCAACTATACCTTTAAGTGACCGAATACTGGGCACTCTACCCCACCAATGTCTTCGTTTTTAGGACAAATACTCGAAAGATAAGAAAATTGACATGAAACAGGCAAGAAACACAACAACATTTAAATCATGTCCATTATTTTTACAATTGTAGAAGATTTAGATTTTTAGTGTGTTATAGTTTGGTATCGCCACACCAAAGTCACAGGTCCAAACAGTCAGGGTCACCAGTAGACATTAGCCTGAGAAGGGGCTCGTCCAAGAATGAGGGTCGTCCCTATAAACGAAGATATTCTCGTAAATGCTAACAAATCGTGTCCTTAAAAATAAGCATCGTTCACATTTTTTTTCTTCTTCAGCGCTCTGCGGTTGCAGAGACGCCAAGTTCAAAGATCGGCAATGCATGACATTTTAATGAGGGTATAACACACGTAGGCCTATGGCGTTTTTTTTAAATCTAGCGCGCGCGCCGTGCGTGAGAGCCGTTTTCAGACCCTTGTAATGCGTGATGTCACGCCTAATGCGTGACACGTGGTAGCTCTGCGGTTGGCAATGTGAAAAATGGATTACGAGTAATAAAATACCCCTGGCCCCAGTTCACCGTCTCAATATTGGCAGTCTAGTCTGTCTTCACAAAGATTTATCGTCCACAACGTGAAAGTCTCTGTGCAAAATGAGTCAATGTGAAATGCATCAAAGAGCATCATTGCGGAATCCTTTTATCGCATCCCCAACGCACGGACTGTTTTTGGGACGCGTCTGTCCGCATTTATGAAGACGATCCTTATTCTCCGACCAGCGCCCCTCCTGTCTGGTCACAGTTGTGAACAAGCGCCACTCATTTTCCTACACTTAAAGTAAATGCTGCTACAAATGGAAAATTGAGTGTCCCAAGTCCTAACGAGTAGACCTAGTCTAAGCCTAAGCCAAGTCCACCAGGCACCAAGGACAAGGAGTCAAGGACATGTTTTGTTCTGGCCAACACTTTTTTTTTTACATCAATCCAATCAATTGTAAATAGATCTAGAGTAAAGTACCCGGTAATCGGTCAGCTCCGGTTTTCGGCCAATTGGTTGGATACATGGTAAAATCACTTTAAAATACATCGCATAATAGCATAACACGTATCCCACACATACCATACCATGCCAGTGTCACTGAAGAACCACATTTGCAATGAAAAATATATCCTAAAATATCACATTTTAGCGATGTAATCGGCGGTCCCGCTACCCAAATCTGAAAAATCGAGTTTCTTACGCGTGTATGTAAGAAATATGGGTGCCATAAAATGAGCTTTATTTCAAGTATTTTTCAGATATAGAGCCCGATTTTGTGCTGGTCGCAAGCTCAAAAGTATCTCATCGCATGTATTAAATCAATGCAGCCGCACACCGCGACGCACACACGATATGTCTGTCTAATTCAGATTCCAACTTCCGATCACCGCTGTGCCTGTATTCGGCTAGGCGAGCACCCGGGAGCTCCGGCGTGGGATACCTGCTCCGCCCGCTTGTGCTATACATCAGCGCAGAAACGCACGGCGCGCGCGAGCGCTTCCTATTGACTTTGTACATGCGGCCGTAAACTGAAACGCTCGGCCGATAACCGGCTCCAAAACAGTGAAAATTGAAATGAATATTGTCATGGCAATTCGTGATTTTTTTTGGGGATTCTTTTTTTGTTTAAATAATAATAATATTTGCTTCATGATTTGAACAAGAAATGATAATAAATAGGAAGTAAAGAGTCCAATAAATAGGATTTTGTCTTAAGTGGCCGAAAACCGGGTACTTTACTCTAGGTCTATTACCTTGCAAACATGGCTTTCAATTTTATAACAGGGTTAACTAGACCCTACACATTATAAAACAGCGTAGATCTAAAGACTCTGTCTCACTCTCAGGCTTTGGACGGCGTCCGAACTATATCTTCATCTAATTTACAGAGTTCAATGAGTCATTCGCGTTCGTGGTAGGTCCACAACACACAGGCGCCTATGCACATACATACAACTACAAGTAACAAGTATAATACGCAATCCACACATAGCTGCCATTGTTTACAGAACTCGATCATAACAAAAAAGCGTGTAAGGCCCCGAAGTTGCGACCATTTTTATATGTAACACTTTGAAACGAAAATAAATGATGTATGAAGAAATATAAATCATACTACCATGTACCTGCTCACAAATTTACAAATGTCGATCACCAATACTTACTGCGATGCAGCCCGATTATGACAACATCTCGACAATAATAGCTGCTGCTACAGCGGGCGACATTTTGAACCGTAGTGCATTATGGGTGCCATGTGCTTGACCAAAATCGGATTGTTGTAAGTGACGTCATGTAAAAACTATGTGATACAAATTCGTACACTTTCTGCCAATCTTCTTCCTCTTTCTATTCAGGTTTAAAATTTCCAAATTATTTTGTTAAATGTCATACTAACTGCGTTATTTCACATAGTAATGCATTATTCACACATCCCGTTATGTTACAAGAGGGGGACCCCGTGGGGGACATGATGCGACAAAATCGAGCCCAAATGTGCCCCGCCACAACTTTATGTTCTTGTTCTGACACGAGTGAAAGTAAATTACAGCCGCCCCCCCCCCCCCGAACAAAAAAAGAAGCTATAGCTGCAGTTTACCTATATATGCCTACATGACCGATTATAAAATCCTGATGCCTCGACCAGCATATTTTTGTTGGGGTCATCATATAGACCCGGCATCTCACGAAACCGACAAAACAAAGAATTACAAAATTATAGTTCACGAATATATAGACCCCGACAAAACGTAATATAAGAGAAGATAAAGAAGATGTCCGTCTCTTGGGCTGTCGATCTCGCGAGCCGTTGGTCTAGTAATTGAGCTATAAATGTGAAAGTGATGATAGCTATAAGGGCATATGAGACAAGGGGCGTCGCTTACGGGGGGGGGGGGTGCTGGGGCGCAATTACACCCCCACCTATACTGAAAATTGCGCTGCCGTCGGACAAAATGAAAAGAGGGGGAGGGGAAATGAGAGAGAAAGGGAAAGAAGGAAAAAATAAACTTGAGGAAAAGAATTAAAGAGAAGAGAAAGAGAAAAAAGAAAAGAGGAAGGAGAGGAAAGTTTTAATAAGTTTTTAGTATCATAATGACAGTATCAAAGCTAAAGGCTAAAATTGTGGAGCCAATGTATGTATAAAGAAACATGAACGTGAACGTTGTGCATTTTCATGGAAGGTAGTTTTAAAGAGATTTTAAAGTTATATATTTCATACCTACAGTATACATGCATTTTATTCTCTATGTTAATTTCAAATCTGGGAGGTGCTCATTTTACTTTAACAAATGCCCTTTTCTTTTGAAATAAGTGCCCCTTGCCCTTCTGATAAGTGCCCCTTTTCATCTTTGATGAGTGCTACTTCTCACCTCTGATAGATAAGTGCCCCTTTATAATTTTAAACACGTGCCCCCTTTTTATTCTAATTAGTGCCCTTTTTCCTTCTTATAAGTGCCTTTTTTCCTTCTGATAAATTCCCCTTTTCTTTTTTTAAAGAGCCACTTCCCCCTTCTCATAAATGCCCCTTCTGACACGTCATTGATCGATGCCTCTATTAAAATCTCATAGGTAACCTTTACCTTCGACAAGTGCCCAGTTTTATTTGTAATCAGTTCATGCCCCCTTTCTATCCTTACGAGTACCATTTCGACCCTTCCAATCTCATAAATGCCCCCCCCCCCATTCATATCTGGCGAGTGACCCTTTTTTGTTATAGGTACCAGAAGTGCCACTTACTATTTCTGAAGAGTGTCCCTTAAGTCACCTCTTGTAAGTGTTTCATTTTAAATGAGATGTGTCCCTTTTACTTTGACAATTGCATCTTCTCATTTGTACCCAGGCTCTTTTCATTTTTATAAGTGCCCCTTTTATTTGTATTGAGTGCCCCTTTTATTTTGACACGTGCCACTTATCCTTTCTAATTAGTGCCATTTTCCTTCTGCCTCTTTTCCTTTGTAATGAGTGCCCCTTTTCCGTTCTCATTATTTTTTTCATCTCTGGGTATAGTGCCCCTTATCAGGAGTGAGAAGTGCCCCCTTTTCACCGCTGATAATTCCCCTTTTTACTTTGACATGTGGTCTTTTTCCTTTCTGATAAGTGTCCTCTTCCCTTTGGATATGTGCCCCCTTTTCATCATAAAATGTGCTCCTAATTTTAAAGGCAAATGGGGTCATGAATTTGATTCAAATGAACATATTGGAAGCATATGCGATCCTACAATATTCAGTGATCGTTGTCGCGGTTGAAATCGAGTCTAAAGTTATGAAATTGTAAATAATAAACTCTTTGTATTGTATAGCGCCCTCTCAAGACTGATATTACTAAAGCTTTAAAACAATGTTTTTTTTTGTTTTACTACAATCGACCGATTTGCTAATCCCGTTTGGAAATTGTATTTCAGAACTGCATATTCTTAGATTTCATTGGTCGCAGCTACCATGGAATGGCCTTATATAGGCGCTATTTGAAATGTTTGAAATTTACCGGGAGCAATTTGCTCGAAAGCAGAAGTGTTGTAGGGGATAACTGTTTTAGTGCTTAAAATACAACCACAGGGGTATCCAAATATATCAAATTGTTAAAGAAAATTCAACACTCTTTCCCCTTTTCCTCCCCTCTTCCTCTTGTGACTTGCATTGGTCTCCTTTTTTTTCTCTCTCTCTCTCCATCCTCCTCTCAGCTTATATGACATTAACAATGTCTTCATTTTTATTTAAATGTCTCTTCGTCATACGCCGTACTCATCTCTCCTCGTATCATATTCCAGTGGCGGATCCAGGGGGGCCCGGGGGGCCCGGCCCCCCCCCCCCCCTTGAGAAAAAAATCATGTAAAATCACGTGATTTTTACCTTTTTTGGGGGTTGGGCCCCCCCCCCCCTGGCGCTCAAGGGGGGGGGGGTGCAAATTGAAAAATTTTTGAGGACAAAAAAAAAAAAAAAAAAGTGCTCACTACCCCAATAAAACAAAAATAGTATAAACATTAAAAAATCTAAAGTGAGGGTGGGTAGGGGTCCATCTATTCTTAATTCACTAATTACATATATTATTTTGATCTCAGTAATTTGTCATGTTACTGGTGTTTCATCCTTCCATTGCATACTTCAAAAGTGAGGAAAAAAAAACTCCTTTATTATCTGTATTCAATTTATTTCACATTATACATGTATAAGGCACTCAGATTATTAAATAATGAAAATTATCTGGAAATTATACGAAACACTTCAAGGAAATCAACATTGTGGCAAGGTAATCATTGGGATAAAAGATGAAAAATAAAAAAATTCCTGTTTTGAAATGGAATCTAGAGAGAAGAGGAGAAAGAAAGGGAAGGTGAGAATGGCACGGAAGAGAGACAATGGGTAGAAAAGTAAAGGAAGAATTGAGCAATGGATAGAGAGAGAGAGAGAGAGAGAGAGAGAGAGAGAAATAAAATTTGAATCTTATTTCAGAAAATTAAATCCAGAAGAAAAATGGATGATCTAAATAAAAAAGGAATGCATAAAATAAAGGAGGAAAAGTCCTTCAATTATCCATTGTCTATTGGAACTGGGTGGATGAACAATAGTCAAAAGAGTGCTAAAATATTTGCATGCTTATTTATGCTTATATTTACTTATTTTCCTATATAAATCAACATTTTTTTAAGTACTATACTTGTTAACCTTCCACATAAAATTTGAAAAATTCTCAAGGCAAAATGTATGAATATGGTATATTTGTATGCTTTTACACAGAAGTTTTACAAAGAGGAATCTAGGAATTAAAAACATTTAGTTTTAAGGCAATAAGAATGAATAAAAGTAGGAACAGTCAGAAGCAATGTAGTACTATTAGAAGCAGTAGAACTTGAACAAAATCATATCACATCATTACATTTCAGTCCTGATCAACCTAAGTATAATCATTTATCATTTCTAAATGACATATTCTAATTATTTTTATCTTTATATATATATATATATATATATATATATAATGACATGACTTGTTAAGTAAAATGACATAAACTATTTTTGAAATGCTTAAAAAACAAATTGTAAAATCTGATATTGCTTTTTCAAACTGAACACAAGTACAAGTTGACACTTAAGCTACAAAGCAGCATAAAAATAAGAATATGATTTTTAAAACTTATTCACATAATTTTGTCTATGAAAAAAAATATACAAAGCGGCCATTACTTATAATATCACTTCCAAATATACATGTGTATATCAGTATCTCACAAGTAACATATTGCAACATGATTTTATTATAAAGATAAATTATGATCAATGCCGTCTTTGGCAAGTATTCACATTAACACACCAAATTTAGTCAAGGTAAAGGGCATTCCACCCCTGTCAACCTTGTCATTCAAATAAAAGTCATTTAAAAATGAAATTAATTTCTTATTTTCATTTCAACAATCCTTTCTTTTATTCATTTTGTTACATAATGAAAGAATGAAAGTAATTTGTACAGAATAGAGAGCTCACGACTTGGCACTCAATGGTTCAAATCATTATATTTTAGTAATATATCAAATATATTAGTATACATTGCAATTTTGTTTAACATTAGTTCACGTTTCATATTCTGAGGTATTTAGATAATGGAATGATACAGAATCAGACAAATTTATGTCTCAGGGTATAGAACCCTGATTACATGATCTCCTTTATACAAAAACAGAAACAGTAGCTTGAAAACACAAATACATGGGATAACATAATGCAGGCATATCCACGTAAAGGGAAATTTTGGGGAAATTGTAGTATCACTTCAATGTGCATCTAAAAAACAGATAGCTTGGATAACTTCTTAATATCACCAAAGAACATTATATTATTCTGCATAGCTTTACAAAACTAGATAAATTTTGCAAAACTTGGTACTTGACACTTCTTTCTTAAGTACTTTCAGTTTCAAATAGCATTGGTAACAGGACAGAACATTTGCATATTGACATTCTATAGGGAATTTGTGCAGGGATTTCTTTTTCCTCTTCAAATTATGCATGCTTCAAAACTTAGAATAGAATGCAATACATAGAATACAATGGCCTTCTTGACAGACAGATTGCACAAGAGGGTGGGGGTCAATTTTCTCCAGGTTTAGTTGAAATGGAGAGTGAAATTTATCTTTATCCATTCAGAGATATGTTTTTCACAGGTATCATTGTGTTTCAAATGAATTTATTGCTTAACAGTTACATGTACAATGCAAAAAAGAATCATAACTTTTTAAGTGGGTATGATACATGATAATCAATTATAGAAACACGATTATGCTAAAGACAGGTACAAACAGGAAGAAAGAGACTGAAAGTTTTAGTGCACATCACCATGACTTTTTTATACCCTATTATTGTGGATATGCCCAACTTATCTCTCATAAACAGCAGTGGATGAGTTAATCTTCCTTGGTCCGTCCAGTAAATGTATTCATCATATCTTGGATTCCATTCATATCGTAGGCTGCCTGGACTGCCTTTGGATGCCATAGGCTAGTAGAGAAAGAGAAAGGAAATAACATGATGACACTGTAAAACAAAATCAGTAATTAGCATTATAAGCCCCTCCCAGGTGTAAACCACCATTACATAGAACAGCACTGGCAGATTTAGATGATGAATACTTGCATTTTCAAACTTTTGTCAAGCATAAAGGTGTTTTTTTAAATGTGTATGCTAAATGCATGATTTCCTTATGTTTTAAATGAGAGAGAATTAGAAATACTGATTGAGGCTCCTCATATTGTAAGATGTGCTTTATAAAACTTTCACAGGTGTAGTATTTTCTTTCACATCACGAGTACCATAAAATGCGGTTTTAATTGGGAAATTAATTATCAATGACATATTGGCAGCTAAAACTATAATTACATCTATCTCAAAGGGTCGAGGCATATATGCATATCATTAGCTTTAACCATTATCAGATAAACCCTAATCATGTGTCAAGGGTTAAAATGGGCACAGATTCAACATGGCTTAGATCCAAGAAAAGTTGTTTCTCCTCAGTTGGGATTGATTTGAATCAGTCACAACTCTGTACAAAGCAGGGCCCTAGAGTCTGGACTTTGGATTTTGACGGGGTGGGGGGATATCGTACGACTGGAAATTCAGTAAGAAAGAAATAGGAACTGTCCAGTCTCCACACACACAACACTTTTCCACCCTGATATCATATCATATATGTATATTCTGACTACTTAGTGATATAACACGGGTAGTGCTTTTGCAAAAACAATCAAACCAAGGGGGAAATGAAAAAAAATGAAAAAAACAAGTTCATTCTTGCTCGTATATACTATATGTACAGTACATAATAGACAAAGAGTCTAGGGATAGGACAAGAGCTGTCATGAGCAAAATAAGATCAAACTATTGACTTCAAAATGTAATCCAACCTTTGAGAAAAGTTGGGTTGTGTGTGGAAGCATATAAATCAGAAAGCAAGGGTCAGTACAATTTTGAAAGAAGTAGCAAGAGTGGAAGCCTGCTCATTTTGATGTTCCTTTTGAGATCATATAGAAATGCAGCAAGTGATGACTCACAGTGTCTGTCAAAGACACATTTAAAGTGATTTAAAAAAACAAGTGAATGAATGAAATATTTGTGAAAATAATGATGCTGCATGATCACATTGATGAAACAAATAATTTTGACGATTTTTATGACATTTATAATAACATCTGGGTAAAATATTTTCCAATTGATTAAATGGATATATATCTATTCACAGCTTATTCAATGAGCAAAATAGCCCTAAAAGTCATTCAAACTTTGGTTGCAAATGCCTGTGAGCCGGGGTAAACTGCAAAGGGACAAATGATTGCAATTCCTTGTGTCCCAGTTTTAATGAATTGATCCTACATAGATGCCTAGGCAAGATCTAATGATATGCTGTAAAAAAAGTGAGAAAGATGTTGTGTGGGCAGATGAATTCAATAGTTGACTTGAATGAAGATGAAGAAGAAGAACATATCCTTTAATCCCTCTTATATTCCATATGTGGCCGACCTAACATCACAAAACTACCAAAAAGTCGCCAGAAATTCATTCTATGTTTAAGTATGATTCTAAAAGAGGAGAGTTTCAGCTTTAAAATGACATATAACTCTTTACATGTTGATTTTCCCAACCCAATTAAAAAAAAGAGGAATGTCCAGTCCCAAAGAATGTCACTTTAGAGAAAAGGCAATTTAACTCTACATAAGCACTCAGAGTTCAGAGGCATCGTGGAAGGTGACAAAAGGAGGATTAGAAATCAATAAAAACTTATGTGAAGGGATTATCGGATTACCCTATAACTTGAAGTACTTTATAAGCACATCCTATTCTTTATTCTCACTAGGTTTTAAATCCACATTCACTACTTTAAAGTTATAGGAGATCAAAATAAGATCAGGAGTCGGGTCATTTTAAAATACCCAAATACCACTTTTGTATTTTTGAAGGTTCCCAAATGTTAAAATTACTTAAGAGAAAGTATACTCAATCAGGAAATGCTGAAACCAAAGTCTGACCAACTTGACCAAATACACTTTTATTGTCGGCTATAACTGAAAATCACCACCATGCAACTTTTTGGTAATTAAGTGGTGGCATACGGTCACATATGAACAAAGAGGCATTGTGATGTTGTTCTTTGTTTCTTTTCCATATAAGCAGGAATGTTTTTGTATTTTTTCCTGCAATTTGATTGGCAACCGTGTATTTCTGTCTCTCTTTATTATTCCTTGATTCAACTTGTAACAAAAATTAGCAAAACTGGAAAAGTCGCTTTTTCTTACGATGAAATGCTTTGCATGAATGCTTTGAAACTAATAAAGACACCGTGTGACAGCTTTTTAAAATAAATCAACAATTCATCTTCGTTAGAAGATAAGCACGGAAAAAGTCAAAAAAAGAAGAAGAAAAATGGAACTTTCTGAATTCCGCAATTTTTTCTTTCTATTTGGTAGATCTATGTTTATTTCACATTTCACGTTTATACATTAATACTAGTAGTTAACTTATTAAAAAGATTAACTTGGAATTTCCAAAGGAGAACTGCATTTAACCAATCCAAAACTGGGGAGGGGTCATGACCTCCATTCTAGACATTTGTGATTACTTCAGGCTCAGGGATGCCAGTTAGTATTGATCAGAGGGCCTGACAATCACCTTGAATGAGCTATTATGTACACAATAAAGCCTAAACTATTGCCTGAAAATAACTTGCCAGTGCCTGAATTCAGGATTTTGCCTGAAAACTGGCATCCCTGTTACTTGCATAAAGAGAAACTTATCCAAGTAATAATTTTGTGGATTTGTTTTCTTCTATTTTTCAAATCTCATGAATTAAGGAAATATGTCATATGAATAGATCATATTAATTTTAAACTACAATACAATGGTACACTTTAGTTTTGGAACATGATTTTAGATGTGCGAGCAAAATTTTGAGGTGATCGGTTGTTCTGGAGCTGAGATCTCTGGAGGTAGGGCAAGCCAGGCCGCACACCCTCTAGAGTTTTTCAACCTTGCAAAAGGCCCCGATCTTGATAGGGTCCCGACATTATGGCTATATAATCGAAGGTAATTGCAAATCCTTTTGATCTTAGTCAATCCAGATACTGACACTGCTTCGTAACATTTCACAATTTGCCAAATTTATAATTCCATTTTCACATGAATGAATTATAGATTACAGCACTTTAATCCAACTTTTAATAACTCAACTTTGCATGCATTTGCTTGTAATTTGCATGATTTTAAAGAAGAAAAAAAAAACATTTTGGCTGAATTTTTTTGGTAAGAATTGAAAAGGCACCTCCAACAAAAGTCTACTCTTGCTTTTGTCTTCCTGTAAATGTTTCCATCATCTGCTGGCTTCCATTTAGGTCAAAAAAGGCCATCACTGCTTTGGGGTGCCATAGACTGTATTACGGAAAGAGGTTATATCTAAAGTTTTGATTGAGTTTCAAAATGGCGTGTCATTTCCTGGATCATTATTTCAACCGATTTCCAGTCTAAAACTTCTTCAATAAGCATTATAAAATACAAGAAATAAGGCACTAACATGTATTGTCTCAATTATTATGAAGTTATAGACTATGACAGACATGTTTTACACACAAAGCCAAGCCAAGACAAACCGCCATATCTAATTATCCAGTTTTGAGTTGAGTGATTTGTCACAAAACCTCCTGATTTTTTTCCTGACAGGCAAGAAAGGGAGAAATCATTTGCCAGGTTTTCCCTCGACTTCCAAGATGTTGGAAACGCTGAGGGAGGATACACACACTTTTTGAGACCAGGAAAGAAGTAGTGGCTCCCTGAATTGAGTGATTTGTCACAAACTCTATAATTTTCCCCTGAGTCAAGTAATTTTTCACAAATTCCCTGATCCCCCCCCCCCCCCCCCCCCCCCCCGAGTCAAGCAATTTTTACACAAACTCCTTGATTTTTTCCTGACAGGCAAGAAAAGGTGAGATCCTATGCCACGTTTGTCCAGGTTTTTCCCTCGACTTTCAAGATGTTGGAAATGCTGAGGGAGGATAAACTTACTTTTTGAGACCAGGAAAGAAGTAGAGGCTCTTTGGCAGGATGAGAACCCTCTGGTTTGTCCTGATGGCAAGGATAATCTGCTCCACAGCGTATTCTGGCTCCATTAAGTCTATCATGATGGATCGTCTGAATAGGGAGAGAAAGGGAGACAGAGTCGTACACATGAGTGAAATCAAGACAAAGGCCTAATAAATGCAAGTGAAAAATCTAATCCCGGTGCTATGTTAAAGCCATGTGGAAGGACAGTTCAAAATAGTGACTTGCTACTTGGTCTAAATCTGTTTATCAGACTTGGGTAAGAAAGAGCTTAAACCAGGCCAGCATGCAGCTTGAACTGTTTCACATAATGAAGGTTATATTACCAGCTTACAACTAAGCTGGTAGGATGAAATCATTAGGCTGTAGGCCAATTTTTTCTTCTCCAGCTCTATAACTTGTTTCTTCATACTCACTTTGCCTTGACGCCGTCAAACATGCCTGTCTTGATGTAGAAGGGGCACACCACCGTGCATTTGACGCCCGTCTTGCCACTGTACTGCAGCTCATGGTAGAGGGCATCGTCCAGTCCGACAGCGGCAAACTTACTGGCGCAGTAGTCCACCAGACCGCTCACGCCAAGGTGCCCAGCCAGGGAAGCGATGGTTACGATGTGACCGTGGTTCTTCTCCAACATGTGGGGCATGAAGGCTTTCAGCGTCTGACAAACGATATAAAAAAAATATATACCGGTAAATATATATATAGAGTCAAACCTGCTTTAGTGAACACCTGTATACAACAACCACATTTTTTGTTCCCCTTTAAAATGGTTTCTAATTGAAACATGTAATAAAGGAACCTGTCCTCAAAGACCACCCGTCTACAAAGACCACTTTTTGTGTTTCCCTTAGACAAGTTTGACTGTATACCAGTATACACACCATACAGATAATGATATGCATTTCTGTTGTGCAGCTAAAAAGAAATATATACCACTGCACTTGTTACAAAGTATAATATTACCCAGCTTTAGCCAAGCTTCCATGATGAGACGCTTAAAGATAAAGACCAGTTGTGGTCATGCGATTGCATTGTGAAAGAAAAGTTGTGGAATCGATCAGAAAAGGTTGATCATCTAGCATATAAGTATTGGTGTGTACTGCAAGGTTCTGGAATCGTCAAAATGATAAGAAATTTGGCCCAATCTTTGTAAAGTTACAAGCACTGTACACAGAAAGATGTATATGGGACTACGCACACGTGCGCAACACGTGCGTTTATCTCTCACACACCAATAGATAAACTAATTTACCAAATATATCAATTAGTAGGTGGTTTCCCGGCAAAATTTGTATCATCATGTATTAGTCAAAACATACTCTTTCACATGATTGGTAATAAGAGCTTCCATTTCATTTTTTGAAATTTGGGCGTTTCCAATACTGGTCTTTACCTTTAAGCATCAAACAAATTCACACCGGATGACCATTTACTTCACCTGGGCTGAGAGAAACAAATGTAGATTACTGTTGTAACATTTATATTTTGTAGCATTTAATATTTAATTTACATTTGATGATTTTACATTTTCCTTTCCATCGTCATTTACATCTATTTTGAATCTCATTTATATTTCAGCTTATGACCTCCATTCCCCTCTCCACCTTCACATATAATAATAATAATACATATGATTTATAAGGCGCCAAATCCACTTGACAGTCAAATGCTCAAGGCGCAGCTTGTGCAAAAGATGAAATATATACATGATATATTTATACAAAGAGCGATAGGAAAGGTACAGACATGAAAGGTAATGGTAATCTATTATAAGCTAAATTAAACAGATATTTCTTAAGATTGTTTTTTAACACTTTAGCAGAACTGCTATTCTTAACCCATTGACGGAGAGTATTCCATAACGAAGGCCCAGCATGAGCGAAGGTTCGCTCCCCCCACTTAGTTTTAACCCTAGGAGTAACAACTAAGCCAGAGTTTTGAGAACGTAGCTGTCTAGAAGGAAAGTAATGCTTAATCAAGCCGATGTTATACTGCGGAGCAGAGCCATGTATACAGTGAAATAATAGCAAAATAATCTTGAAAACAACACGTTTTTCTACGGGCAACCAATGGAGTGATTTGAGGACTGGTGTGATGTGACTGTACTTGTTGGACAGGGTCACAACACGAGCAGCAGCATTCTGTAATCTTTGTAATTTTGCGAGTAGGTTGTGAGGCGAACTAAACAAAAGGCCATTACCAAAATCCAAGCGAGAAGAAATCAAAGCATGAGTAATTTTCTCAGTGGCACCACGGTTAAGATATTTACGAATAAAACCCAAATTGCGTAACTGATAACGTACTGATTTTGAGACATATTGAATTTGAGCAGACATTTTCATGTTTGAGTCGAGAAACACACCAAGGTTGCGACATACATTAGATAGGGTAATTTCATGTCCAGCAAGAGTAATATAACTCTCATTTCCATTGCCAAACCTCGATCCTTCCAAGATTTAACCAGAAGTGAGCATGATGTTGAAATCCATGATTTTCCTGACGACTGTATTCACGCAAACATGTATGTGCATGTCACAACTATCCCTCTCAATATGCTATGGGAGAGAAGGGAGACAAACATAGAAACACCGGGAGAGCATACCCAGAAGTGAGCATTGATGTTGAGATCCATGGTTTTCTTGATGAGGCTATCTGGACACTGGAGCAACTTTTTCCCCGAAACGATGCCTGCGTTGTTGATGAGGATAGTCACATGACCGATATCTTCCCTCACTTTGTCTGCGGTCCTGTAGACGGCCTCGTTGTCACAGCAGTCCACCACGTAGCTGTAGGCTTTGCCCCCTGCTTCTCTGTAAGGCAGTAAAAAAAGACAAAGAAATCAGTGAGGCAATAGGTGACTGCCAAAAAAGGCTACTACATTGTATTTGCATATATGTAACATATATTCAGTACTCATTATTTTACAATAACGCTCTAGATACTATCCATGCACTTTCCAAAGGTAAACAATATTTTGCCATGGACGTGAGAAACAAAATCATGAGGTAAATTAAAATAGGTATTGTAATTATTACTGAATGTATACTTGCACTTACATGAAATAGACAAATTATAATCAATATAAATTCTGAACCACATTCCAAACTTCTCTCTTTTATTTCTAAACCTCTTCCTCTCTCTCTCTCTCTCTCTCTCGTTGCTATACCTTACGTGTACTCTTCTTCTTTGTCTTCTTCACTCTCCCTCTCCCTCTCTGTCTTTAAAATCTGTAATTATATATCTCTCTCTGAGTTGATTTATCACCCCCTCTATCACCTTTTCCCTCCCTCCCTCCCTCTCCCTACCCCCTCCTCCCCCTCCCATTCCTCCTTACCTTCATACTCTCAAAATTTCATATCCTACCTAATTTCTTTGACCACGCCTTGTGCAGTTTCCTTATTGATGTCCCAAATGATGACAGTGGCGCCAAGCTTTGCAAACGTGAGGCTCATCAGTCGCCCGATGCCCATCCCTCCTCCGGTAACCAGCACAATCTCCTTGCTGACATCCTTCTGTGGTTTCCACGATCCAGGGATGATGTTGTCGATGAAACCAACAAAATTGTAGAAACAAATCTTGGCGATAGTCCAAAGGAGGAGGAAGAAGATGACGATTGGGTTTTCCATTTTGCCGTGTTACAAGCTGGGAGGTGAAAAAGAAAATTAAAATGAAGACATCAAGAACACTGTAAACGTAGGTGTTTTTTCAATACAGATTTTCACATTTTCCTTGAAGGTGAAAATATTTCACAAGTCAACCCCCCCCATAGGAAAGAAATGAGCCTGCCGCATACTCCTGCGGCAGACTTGCCGCAGATCTGCAGCAGACCTGCCGCAGACAGTCATCTTTTTCACATGCAAATTAGTTTTGCCGCAGACTTGCCGCAGACTTGCCGCATACTCTTTCAGTATGATGAAGAGTCTGCGGCAGGTCTGTCGCAGACTTGCTGCAGACTTGCCGCATACTCTTTCAGTATGATGAAGAATCTGCGGCAGGTCTGCCGCAGACTTGCTGCAGACTTGCCGCATACTCTTTCAGTATGATGAAGAGTCCGCAGACTTGCTGCAGACTTGCCGCATACTCTTTCAGTATGATGAAGAGTCTGCGGCAGGTCTGCCGCAGACTTGCCGCATACTCTTTCAGTATGATGACGAGTCTGCGGTAGGTCTGCCGCAGACTTGCTGCAGACTTGCCGCGTACTCTTTCAGTATGATGAAGAGTCTGCGGCAGGTCTGCCGCAGACTTGCTGCAGACCTGCCGCAGACTCTTCGTCATGAATATTCATATCTCATATAGACCTGCTGCAGACCTGCCGCATACTCTTTCATATCCAGTACGTGGCAATAAAGTATGCATGTAGAAGAACCAGTGATAAACTGATTGATACTTCGTAATCTATATTGGCAATATCGATATTACCAATTAGGTAATACCAATATATATCGATATTACCAATTAGGTATATTCTATTCTCAATTGTATTAACTTCATCACATTGATCATTTGAAGTGTATTCAAGAGTAACATTTAAAGTGACAAAGGCTCGTACACATATATATACTAAATATGTATATTGTTTCTTGGTTAGTAATCATAGTTTCTTATAGTAATCAATATATCTATTGCTTAAACGTGAATGTAATTGTAACATGATCAGACAAAATAATCTATTGGTTAATAATGACAAAAGGAAAATAGAAATCACAAAAATGATGTGCATTGTCTTAATTTGCTTAACAAATCATTATAAATGTATTTTTCTGTCACACGTGTAAAGTAATAATGAATATGCATGAGATGATTGGTTTCAATTGGCCCTATTAGACTTTAATGGGATTTCCTGTGGCAGACCTGCCGCAGACTGTTCCTGTGGCGTACTGGTATGCGGCAAGTCTGGAGCAAAGTTTCGCCCTGCCGCAGATCTGCCGCAGACTGTTCCTGTGGCATACTAGTATGCGGCAAGTCTGGAGCAAAGTTTCATCCTGCCGCAGATCTGCCGCAGACTGTTCCTGTGGCATACTAGTATGCGGCAAGTCTGCAGCAAAATTTCATCCTGCCGCAGATCTGCCGCAGACTGTTCCTGTGGCATACTAGTATGCGGCAAGTCTGCAGCAAAATTTCATCCTGCCGCAGATCTGCCGCAGACTGTTCCTGTGGCATACTAGTATGCGGCAAGTCTGGAGCAAAGTTTCATCCTGCCGCAGATCTGCTGCAGACTGTTCCTGTGGCATACTGGTATGCGGCAAGTCTGCAGCAAAATTTCATCCTGCCGCAGATCTGCCGCAGACTGTTCCTGTGGCATACTAGTATGCGGCAAGTCTGCAGCAAAATTTCATCCTGCCGCAGATCTGCCGCAGACTGTTCATGTGGCATACTGGTATGCGGCAAGTCTGCAGCAAAATTTCTTTCTGCCGCATACTTCGGCATACTCTTTGTCGCAGACTAAAAGTCTGCGGCAGGTCTGCGGCAGATATGCGGCAGGTCTGCGGCAGGTCTGCGGCATACTTTTCACTTTCCTATGGGCCTCTCTCCCATCCCTGGGTGATTGTGAATGTGAGAACAGCACTAACTGAATTAAATACAATAAACTTTGCAATATGTGACTTTTGGAGATAGTCAATGAACTCTAGATAATCTTCAAGAAAAGCAAAAATTATGTTTTGAATAAATGTGATTCAAATTATGAATGGCATGAAAATTTCATGCACTGCAAAGTTTCTTGTTATACGGTGCTACTACAGTAGTAAGAAAAAGCACAAACACCTCAACTTATGTGTATCTACAGAGTAGGTTCACAATCACAGAAGATATACCTCTTCCTATCAAACAGTATGTCAATGCTACTAGGTTCCACATGCAGAAACACCTCACTTATACTTAGGGTAATTCACAATCACAAAAGATATGGCTTTTCCTATCAAATAGGATGTCGATCCTCCATACGTGAGCTTGTAATCTAATATATTTTTATAGACAAACTCTACATGTAGGCCCACTTATTATCTTATCTGGATAAGAACAAAGTTCTTATTATACAAACTGAATTCATGCCAAGTGTCTGCAACTATAATGGAATACATAAGGTGACTTGGTTAACCCCTTGAATTCTGAATTCTCATCCTCCCCATAGGTGTAACACAGGAACCACACATACAACTGTTTCTCCAGTAGACAATAGGTTAAAAAGAAAAATCACACAAGGTGACCTAGGAAAGTCATATTTTATCAAGGTACTTGAGACTTGATGACTAAACAATTGTCTGCAGGAGAGTTTTTCAACTTTTTTTTTAGTCACAGCACCCTTTTAAAGGCATCATTCAACAATGTTAAATCTGAGATGCACGGCCCTACATGTTATCAGTGTCTGTGATATGGTGTCAAATTGAAGCCCTAACAAAAATTGCTCTTCAAAATGATCATGAAGTGACTCAAAAAAGTAAAAATCTTTGAGTGACCGGTTTTACCATACTCGTTTTCCCCATTAGACGGTAGTGTTATGAAAACCGTTAGGGAAACGCAAAATTTGGTTTAGATTTCCGATCATAAATATCTTGATAATCAGACAGGCGATCGGCTCGTAAAAGTTATGGTGTTCCTGACTGACCTAAAGGTTTATAATTTTCATTGCAGCATGAGCTAAATCCAGGATTTTGTTTCAGAATCTGAGACAAATTTACCGGATCCCTTTAAGAAATAAAAAGTTTTGCGTCACCCCAATCCCAAAAAAAAAAATACATCACAGAAGATTCATTTTGCATCACTTTGGCACTCGTCAAGTGATATAGAAACATGTAAGGGCACATTTCTTTCTAAATTTTACGACAGAGCGACGTGAGCAAGCAAAAAAAAGGGGGATATTTTTAATATGGTAAAACAATTATTTTTTAAACAGCACACAACACAAGATATAAAATAATTTTTGTGGCCGGGCACCTCGCCCCCGAATATACATAAATACAGAAATCATATACTGTACATGATAATCGGTCACCTTCACCTTGATACACTAATGTGAGGACATGATTAGGCATCTCGTTGACCAGAATTACCGTCCCTAAATGCTGCAAGCAGCACTCAAAATACAGGGGGGCGGTGGGTGATTCGCCCCCGTGAGCTACATAATCGCCCCCGTCAGGTTGCTCACGGGGGCGATTGCAAAATTAAAAATCGCCCCCATGGAATTATGAAATAAAGATTACCTTTTCTGTTAAAACTTTAACACAATATTGAGTTTCAATTTTCAAACCTTAAACCAATGAAATGGAACTTAGATTAACATGCAAGATTTCTCGTTTTATGAGTAGGCCTAGTTATTACCGATTCAGCTCACAGAGCAGTGCCGCGCCGCCGTCAGCAGTGGTTATAGGCCTACTGCGCCGTTAGTAACACCCTCCTCCCACCCCCGGCTCCCTTGGGCTGCAGAGTGAAAATGTGATATTAAAGCGGGGAGGGGGGGGGGGAGATGCTGGAGAGGAGGACTACTAATCTATTTTATTTTTTTCAGGGGGGGGGGAATGAAGCGCCGTTTTAGCATGACTTTCTTTTTAACTCTTACTTTCACCTATCTCAGATAACCCTAAGTGTTTGGTTGCTGCTTTATATGTAGTTGATAATGCATGATTAAAATAAAGAGAGAGAGAGAGAGAGAGAGAGAGAACCACCATCATTTTGCAATGGTTCAGGGTTCGTGCAATGTACATTTGAAACCATTTCTTAGCGTCTCAACCCTAAAAAAATAGCAAAACTATTTTTGAGGAAAAGCATTATACTGAATTAAATAAAGAATGATAGCTTTATATTGGATCATACTAATACTGATACGGGCTAAAGACAATGTGGTATTTGTATAGAGGTATTCCAAAATGGCATTCTGATAATGAACATTTGTTCTGGTATCATAAATGTATACTAGCAGGACCCGCGGAAATCCGCGGGATTCTGGAGGGGGGCGGGGGGTGTAAATAGATATATAGAGAGTGTCTAAATTAAAACCACCAAGAACTTTATTTGCCATTCAGGCCATTAAAAAATATACATGTTTAGCGTCCCCGCCCGCTTCCTTTTTGGGGGCCGCCTCCTAATTATTTATTTTTTGAAAAAAAAATTGATTTTTTTTATATTTTTTTTTGTTGAATTTTTTTGATTTTTTGAAAGAAAAAAAAACATGAAAAGCACTGCTAAAATGTATTTCTGATTTTAAAAAAGAAAAAAAAAAAATTGTCGGCCGCCATCTTGAAAAATAGCCCGAATGTCAGGGAAAATGTACGGAGCGGCCATTTTGAAAGAAAAAAAAAAAAAGGGCCTCCTCCTTCCCATTTTTCAAAAAAACAGGATGCTATAAGTATGTTTTTTTTTAAATTTGGCCTTAGTCTATATTAAATTAAAAAAACAATCCAACTGTACCGGTAGTTATTCTTTAAGCCACTGGAACTGCGTAGAGTTCCGTAGTGTGGCGTACCGAATACGCAGAAATTAGGCTGCGTAATAATGGGAAAATAGTCCCTGCGTAGGTTATGCGTAGGCTGGCGTACAGGTTTGCTTATGGTTGCTTACTGTGTGGAAAGCTTTTACTGCTTTGTCGATCTGGCGTAGGGTAGCGTACTGCTGCGTAGTCATGTAGCGGAGTGTTGCGTAAAAAGGCG